CTCAAGTTTGGTTTCCATCAAAGTGCAGCTGATCATACCTTGTTTTTACGTCATTCAGGCGGTAAGACAGTTGCTCTTATTGTGTATGTCGATGATATTATTCTTACCGACGATGATACTACCGGAATTAATGAGGTTAAGAGCTATCTTGGCCGTCAGTTTGAGATTAAGGATCTTGGTCCCCTACGGTACTTCTTGGGCATTGAGGTGGCTCGCTCCAAGACTGGCATTTTCATCTCTCAACGCAAGTATGTCCTTGACTTGCTTTCTGCTTCTGGTCAGCTTGGCGCTCGTCCTGCTGATACTCCGATTGAGCAGAATCATCGGTTGGCTGATTCTGAGGGGGAGTTGTTGTCAGATATTGGTCAGTATCAACGACTTGTGGGGAAGCTCATCTATTTATCCATGACTCGACCTGACATTGCTTATGCCGTGAGTGTCGTAAGTCAATTCATGCACTCTCCTCGTGCCCCACACCTTGATGCAGCTATTCGGATTCTTCGCTACTTAAAAGGGTGTCCAGGCCGTGGTATTTTGTTTGCTAATCATGGTCACTTACGTGTTGAGGCTTGGACAGATGCTGATTATGCAGGATTAATTTCAAATAGGAGGTCTACTTCAGGTTATTGTACCACTATTGGAGGTAACTTGGTTACTTGGCGCAGTAAGAAGCAAGATGTTGTCTCTCAACCTAGTGCAGAGGCAGAGTATAGAGCTATGGCTCTTGGGGTCGGTGAGTTGCTTTGGCTGAAAACCTTGATGACAGACTTGTGCCTTCCAGTGTCGCTTCCATTCTCACTCTGCTGCGACAACAAGTCTACCATTAGGATAGCAGCAAATCCCATTCAGCATGACAGGACTAAGCATATAGAGGTGGACCGTCACTTCATTCAAGAGAAGATCATCTCTGGTCAAATTTGCACTCCATTTGTCACAAGCTCTCAGCAGCTTGCAGACATTCTTACAAAGGACGTTAGCAAGATTGTGTTTGAGAATGCATTGTCCAAGTTGGGCGTTTCAGATATCCACACACCAACTTGAGGGGGAGTGTTAGCATTTATGATACCACGATTTATGGTATAACTTACCATAATAGTAAAGATTTGACTATGCATATGATAGCATATATATGATACCACGATTTATGGTATGACTTAACATAATAGCAGAGATTTGACTATGCTATAGAATATGCCATAGAATATGCTTTAGAATAAGTTGTGATTTGATTTTGATTTGATTTAGTTTCCTTTCTTGTAATATGAGCATGTGCTCATTTTATCTATAAATACTAGAGCTGTGAATGAGTAATTCATCTCATTTAAGCCTTTACGCAATTCTCTCTTTTCTCTTCTTTTTATATATTTCTACTAATAGAGCTGGTGATTAGAGATTATCCAGCAGTGTTTTGATCAATTTAATTAGAATCAATTGAGACACAAAAGAAGAATTATCGGGCTCGACGCCATGGAGTTAGGATCCGTATAATCTAGAACAATGGGTGTTTGTGTCTTTTTCATTTTTCATTTGACAAATGAAGAATAATATACTCCAATAGAGGGGCGTAAGTGCAATTTCGTCAAATAACAGTCTGACGGACGTTACTGACAAGGGAGTTGGTGTAATTATGAAAATCACGAGGGAACGCAGTGTAATTCTAACCTCAGTGGAGGTGAGTGTAATTTACCTAGGAAATATTATTAACCAATCCTACTTTTGCTTTTAAAAGACTTGCAATTACCAACAATTTTAGATAAGACAACTAAATCCTACTTTTTAATAAGTGGTTACACATTATTTTTAAATCTCTCAAATACATTTTTACCCTTTGTAATTTGTAGTTATAGTTTTTTGAGTTCATTATTAGTATTTTAGTTCAAAATTTTACATTTATTCTTTTTCATTCTTTTGAAGTTTCATTTAATTACTCCATATTGATTTATGACTGAAAACATTTAATTTAATTCAATTCAATATAGAAAATCTTGCATAGTTATTTCGTTATGATGTTGATAAATTTTGCGACTGAAAATTAAAAATACCATAAAAGACAATCGCTTAAATGTTATTAAATTATTTGAACAAATAAATAAATATCTTTTATACATCATGAAAGAATTACAATGATGGAAAATCCAATTGCTCAAAAAAAAAAATATTAAATATCTTTAGATAGTTAATAAATTAAAAAAATAGTGTTGGATTTTATATTAACTTTTCAATATAAATTGTAATTTCAAAATATATTTTGAATGGATATGGATAAAAAGGTTTTAGAAGTAGCATTTAACTATCTTGTTGAAACTTGATAGGACTTATTGGTATTTTAAATGAAAAGTAATACCTTTTGGTAATTTTTCCTAAATCATAATACAACGAGGAAAGTGAACACCATAGACAAACATCATTCATCTCCTCCACCCAAGGATCACTGAAATAACCACATCAGAGAAGTCTCAGTTCCATGAAGCATCCAATCTCTGTTAGCATGTCAGTAAGTATCCTTGCAGAAAAGGCTTGTTGATAAATATGAGAAAAAGGAACACGGTTGACCTAAAAACAAATCCTCGACTAGTGCTTAAGTACTCTGTATTTTTTCATTCTTTTAGTCATGCTTCCTCGAAACTGCACATTCAAGAGTAGAAGCATTGCCATATTTGAAGACATACGAGCTGCCACTCTTGCTGATCTGGAGATACACAATTCACCTACTATTTCTTTGTAGTAAGCCCCTTCGAGCCACCAAAATTTTATTTTCAATAGGCAAGGAGGATTTCACACAACATAGGTGTACTCTTTCATACCTTAGCTTCTAGGATTTTTTCCAAGGAGAAGTTTTCGTTGTTGGGGTAAGGTAAGTAATTCAATTCAAGGAGAACTTAGCGCCATCAATTTTATTTTCATCAATAGTACAAATAGAATTTCCTATCATACAAAAAATTATTAGGAGGATGACCATTAAAAGTAATATGTTTCCTATGGTTCCAAAAAAAAATAAAGGGATACGACATTTTTTAGTAATTGAAAAAAATACTTGTGAGCAATTATTTGTTGTTGTATGTCCTCCATATTTATTTTAGTTAAAGAAATTTATTGATACTGGAAAGGAGAAGCAGGTTAAAAATGTGGAAATGGTGACAACTATTTCAATTATACACTATTAGTCTGTTGATCCTGCTCCGGGCATTGGGGCATCGTAAAATTTCTTCCAACTTTGACAGCCTTTCTTGGCAGAGTAGAGTGCATCTGATAGATTACATCCGAGGGTGAATTAGGTGTTAGGAATGGACTGATTGATTTGCCAAAACCTGTCCCATCTAACCAAATTAGAAAATAAATAAATAGAACTCCCACCAATTGATTGCAGAAAAATATGGGAGAAAATAACTGAATTCCAATTGTTAGATGATTTGCCCGATGCAGGTTTGCTCCCACCTCGCCGTAGTAAGCTTATGTACACCTGTATATATTGCATCGGCAGCTGACTGATAAGTCTGCAATTCTTTAAACTGCCTGATGATGTGATTTCCCATGGCCATGAAGCGTGAATGGATGACAAACTTATTTTCTCTATATAATTAATTCGATGTATTCTCAATTTGATGATCATTGATTATTTTCTTACAGATTGTTGTGTGTTTCTTTGTGTGCAGATGCTAGCAAGTTTTATCTACTTCATCAGCCCTTTGGACATTATTCCTGAAGGTATGCATGTTGCTTGCCGTGATTCTATTATGTTTGTTTTTTTTTTAATTGTGGACTGAACGAGTGCAAACTCGCCAACATCATGATCTATTGTGTTTTTCAACAGGGGTAGTGGGAGTAGTTGGTCTTTTGGATGATTTCATTATCGTGCTCATCTGCTTCTTTCATGTTGCTGCCCTCTACCGGTCAGTTCTCCTTTTCCGCCATGGAGGTCCTTGAAGTGTCGCTGGAGCAATGACGTGTTTGAACCTAGAATACAATGCTGAAAGGTGACCGAGTGAAAGTAAAATAGAAAAAGAAAAGAATCAAAAGTAAGTCTATTTTCACAATCTCACTGGATAAAGGATGCGAGTGAAAACAATAGAATATGAAACTCCATTCATTCGACGGATTTGTGTTTTTTTTTTTTTTTTTTTTTTTTTTTTTTTTTTTTATTCATATAGTGGAAGAAGTATGTTATCCTGGATTGCAAGTTGTAACCCAGTGGTTCGTATATTTTTACCGTCAGATTCAACGTTTGACATGTTGCCTTGCCTGAAAAGCGAAATCCGGTTGAAATCTTTAATCGGAGCCAGCTGATATGCTACTTTCACTGCTCTTTGCTATCTCAGGACACAAGTTTTGGGATTTCAATGCCCAAATGTTGTTGAAACTCAAAGTTTATTGATCTGCATTCTCTCCTACGTCACCAAACTCAGACCGGGACAACCAATTTCATCTCATCAGTTTATGAATTTTAGGAGAAAATTTTCAAATCAAACATTGGTGGTTTGGAGCTTGAATGATAAAACACAATCAGATGATCACTTGTTAATTCTAAATTGGGTTAAACAGCCATAAAAGACTTGCGAAGAACTTAAAACTCAGTCATTTCCTGCAGCTTGCGATGAGTTGGCTCACAAGGTTGATAACCAGAACCACTGGTAAGTAAATGCTTGTGTGAAATTAACAACACATTGAGTGGTTGAAAATCGAATTTTAGATTGATGTTTGACAAATTCAATTACAGCCTCAGTGGATAATTTTGCATGCTCCAACATGACAACGAAAGTTTTACTAAGATTAGGTAAGAGAAACATGGCTCACCATATCGGTCGATACGGGTTAGTATCGGTGGTCCGATATTCGTTCTAGTCCGTTACACAACGGTGATTGATACCGCAACTGCAAACTATTGTACCTTGCTGTAGGGCTTAACATGATGATTTAAAAATAAATAGTCAGTGGTATATCACTCCAATCCACTTGACATGATGATTGAATATAAGAGTAGATTACTTTAGCTACCAAAGAAATTGAATGAACAAGAACCATCCCTATAAATGATAAACATAACTTACAACTGCATTAACCAGTTCAAGGACAAGGACTAACAAGTAACAAGCCCTTTTTGATAGTAATATCGTGTAGATATATATTATATACATGTACAATACATTTCAAACCGCAGACTGTCTCAGATATACATACAAACAATGTGTTCAAGAGAATGTGAGCATCACAGATTTTTTTATATTTTGCTTTTAATTTTTTTTCGGGAATAAAAATTACAGGTTCTTGAGCACTAGTTCATACCATTCTCGGTGAACACTGCCCGACACTGTTGCCGCCACAACCAACACTTCCACAGCCTCCACTACCTTATCAGTAAGAAGAGCTGACCCCACACGCCTGAGTGCTGTCTCTGCTAATTGCCTACCCTTGGCTCCACTCCCGCCAAGCACGATCCCTCTTGCTGCCAGGTAGACAGTCCGGGAAACCCGAGTGAATATGGCATCCCCAGCTCGCAAGCTCTTCATCAACATGTTAGCCATAACATCCTTCCTTGCTCGAACCTTTTCAGAGTCACCACCTTCCAAGAACCCATTGATCTTTTCAACAATTTCTGATATACCCACATCTTCTACGCTATCCAAATGCTCATAGAGCAGTATAACACATTGGGAAACTATATTTTCCACGTCAACAGGGCTGGTAACCAACTTCTCACCAAGAAGAGTTTGCCGCAGAACCAATATGCTGATGACATATTAATAAAAAAAAATTCACAATAAGATCAGTACAGGGTGTGGGGGTGGGCTGGGTGGCTAAAGTTGAAAGAAAAGAGTACAATGTGTATGTTAAAGGGTAGGATAGTGATACTAACTATTCAATGCAATCTAATCTTGCAAATCAGAAGTTAGGATGGTTCAGATCATTGACCTAACTAATTGATTATGTATGCTAATATCAGCAAGATCTGACCAAGATTTATAATGTCAAACATATATCAAGTGAAATGTACTGTATAGAAAGTGGGGAGGAGGATGATATCTTTATGTATTATGCTCTCAATAAGCATAACCAATATAGAGTGAAACTGAAAAGTACCTAGCAATACCATGAATATTTTGCACCAGGTAATGATCTATGGATTTCAAGGAACATAAAATTCTAAGTTTTTATTTTCTGTTATTGAAAAGATAAAAATCACTGCTTCAAAACAATTATTACTTATTTTGAAATAAAACACAAATTGGCCAAATATATATAGAATTCTTAAAATAAATGTCTACCATTTGTAAGGGAGTCGCACTGAAGTTCCATTATATTGATGGAAATTTTATCATAGATCTGATCTGAGAATGACATTATAGCAGACCAATGTGTGGTAGCGCATGTAATAGAACTATTTATCAGTTATATGTAGGCTGCAAAAATTTTAAGCATTGCATTTTTATAATGCATTCCATGTTCTTTTTCGAATTTCTTCTAGATGTTTCTTTGACATAGACAATAAATCTGTACCTACAAGTTGTAAAATCCTAAACATCATCACTGAAACCAAGAATGATACTTAACCACAGTTCTAAAACCACATAGCTTTAACCATCATATTTAGTAAGTTCAAGGCGGATCAACCACATTATGTCAACAGTTGCACATAGGTATTAGATTTTCTATTCAGTAATTAAAGGCAAAAATCAGAATAGAAAGGAGAGTGAAAATTCACATCCTCTCACCTGGTAGAGATGACAATAATTTTCTGGATTTGAGACTGAACAGCCCTTAGCCTAGGGAGATTTAGCTTAAGAGTTTCAGGCAGAGTTTCAGCAGTCAATCCTTCAACCTCACTTACAAGCTTTAACAAACCAAGCCTCAGCAACAAATCAATCCTTTCTCCCTTGCATTCTGGTTGTTCAGAACCTGAGCACAATGAAAAAGCACCAACACATATATGTGAGTTGAGAAAAGAAGATAAGGAGAAAAAAGAAATGAAAGAAGAAGAAAAGAAAATAGCAAGTGACAACTAAAACCTGTAGCAGTAGTGAGTGGAATGTCTATTTTTGATGCTGTTCGAATGCTACCTCCAGTACGAAGCGTGGTGGGGAGAAGCCCCTGAGGGTATCTCCCATCACTGGTTGTCAAAGCTAGTAGAGAATCTGTATGTTCATCCCACTCCTGCTCAGAATTAACCAGCACAGAAGAAAGCCATCTCATTGTCAATGATAGAGAAGCGGGGGCGTCAATAGGAGATCCATATTGCTTGGCAAAAGCTTTCTTCAGGTAGTCCAAACCAGTAGGCCCCTTTATGAGTGGTTCCAAAATCCTTATGCGTGCTTTGCTAATCTCATGCTTAAGAGTCTGCAGTAATTTTACAAATAGTATATTAAATTATAAAGAGAGAATATGAATATGCTTTTCAGGTATATATGGGCTAAACAATGTGAAGTTTGTACAATAGCTAAACAATTAAGTTTTCTTATTCTTGTGTATGGTGTTGGGAGTCAAATAAACAAACCTATATGAATATTTATATGTTTAGGTGTACAAGAGAATAATTTAGGGAACTTCTATCTAATCATACAAGTTAATGGACTCCAAAGATACTTCTTCAACGTCTGCCTCACTCCTTTTTATTTAGTCCTGGGATCCCCAAATTTCAACCTAGATAGAACCTACAAAACTGCAAAGTTCCCTTCATAAGGCCATCCAGACTCCCAGTAAAGGATTGTCCTACTGTGATCCTTTTTGGGAAATTATACCCTTCCTTGATCAACCCCCACAGAAAACTTCAGCTAGACAAGCACTTAAAGTTGTTGCACTACCAACAATATGCTACAGTACAGCTGATCTAGGCACAGTGCACAACCCTATCCAGATCAGCTTGACCCTTAATCCTACACTATGTTCCTCAACAATGACATGCATATAATGCTTGCATACACTACTATACATCTCATCATCATTGCCATCTTTGCCTTACTCCCATATGAATGGGGCCGGCAACATGAATTCTCCTACCCTCTGTCTAAATTATCCTTCCTCTTCTCGCTGGTGCATCTATAGGTCTTCTATGTATATGCCCACACCACTTAAGTCTACTCCCTCTAGTGTTGTCACTAATAGGTGCAACACCTAGTTTCTCCCTCATATTTTGGTTTGAAACCCTATCTTTACTCCAAGACCCTAAATACCGAAAGTGTTCAGCTTGGATAATTCTTTGTTTTTGAAGTGTAACAACCATTACATCATTAATATCTGACTCTTTACTAAATTTGCATTCCATATGTTCAGTTTTAGTCCTACTAACCCTCAACCCTTTTGATTCTAAGGCATTTCTCCACCTTTCTAACTTAATTGCTAAGCTAATTTAATTGCCAAGTTTTCTTTAGAAGTGTCAAATAATAATATGTCATCGGCATGAATCCTGATAGAACATTACTAATATTTACATTCATCAGTTTCATATCATTAGTAGGGGCAATTGCCCAAAGTGATGGTAAAAGAGTGAGTTACCAAACATGAGACTACAGGTTGAGCCTAAGAGCAGCAAAATTTTGAAGTAATGCCAACTAGTATGTCTATACCAAGTCCCCCAGCCCCGCAGGGGCCTACTTGGGATGTCAAGCATTCAAAATTCCATAACAATTTTAATAATTTTACCAAGTTCAAAGTTAGCCAGATTAGTCAATATTTATATGTTTCGATGCAACAAGAAGATGTTATTTGTAACTAGTTTTGTTGGTTGGTTAATTGGTCACATTTTATTCATGAAATGGGTTGGATTGGTATTAGTCTGGAATAAATAAACAAAGAGGAAGACACCAAAAGCTGCTAACACACCTGTATCTGCTGCAGAACAAAACGCAGACCTTTCATCATTAAGAGGGCAAATGAATCATTTGAATTATCTCCAGCTGGAGAAATTTCTCTTAGTTCTTGTAATAGCATATGATGAGTTTTTTTCATCTCATCCTCATTAGCGGAAGCAGAGAGTTTCTCCAAAGTGAGTAATGCAAACTCCAGGATCTTCCCAAGATAATCCACGTCTAAAATTCCTGATTTCAGCAACTAAGAGAAAAAGGAGAAAGAGAGAAGGAAATTAATTTACATGTAAAAATGATAACAGAAATGACATGCATAGGCTGCAAAATGATGACAAGGATAGGTTCCCTACATGGGAAAGAGTATCAGTATCAATAGTTTCAACAATCTCCTGTCTCCAACTCAAAGGAGACATCTCACACAGTTCATTCCGGACTTCCTTCACGAGTTTAAGCACCCAGCTGTAGTCAGCCTCCTTCTGTTTCATGGATTCTGTTATACCATCCCAGAAAGCCTTTTCCATTGTCTCTCTCACTTTTGCCTGCATGAAGATAAAGAAAAAGCAAGCAATTATGATGATTTCTATCTCTATATGTTCCACACATTAGCAAACCCTTACAGATTAACTATATAAACACACACATATATACACACACGTGCACATACATATATAACTGTGCATGCACACATAAATATACAAAGAGAGAGAAGAACAAGTAAACCCATGCAATAACCTTAAGACTTTGCTGATCTTCACTACCAATGTCCAAGCTATCAGCAAAACCATGGCGGTACTCATGGAGAATTGCATTTACAAGCATTTCATTCTCCATAATCAAAATTGCACCAGAGCTCGAGTGACCCACTTCACTGCTACTAGAAGTAGACGTATCAACTTCATTGCATGGGGAAGAATCAACTGCCTCAAACGAGGAGTGCACTGTGCTGCTTGAATTATTTAAGTCTTCAGTTGGATTATCTATTTCATCAGGGACATTAATTGCAGGCCTATCTGATGAATCAGGTGAACTTGAAGGTGATCTGTGTACAGCTGGGGATGCTAATGAACTCCCATTGTCCTTGGCTTCAAAAAATCTAGACCGCACATCAGACAAAGCACAGTCCATGCGTTCAAGCCCTTCATTACCACTTAGTTGCTGCACCTTTTCCCTCAAAAGCTTTTGATCTTCCTTAACCTACCATCAGCAAGACAATACAATGGGAAACATTAGCCAATTAAGAGTTTCTGTTCATAAGAGTTTGCTTCATATCTGAGCTTGGTGTAGTACCTGCTTTTGGATAGGCTTCATTCCCTGAGTAAGATTGCCATTATATCCTTCTGGAGTCAGCTTGCAAGCCTGCATCATAGAGAACTCCATCTGGCAAGCAGCTTTCACCAAATCCTCTTCTAACAATTTAGCATCCTTAACCTTCCACCCCACAAATCGATACAGGTAAGAGCACCATGCTTTATCAAAAGCTTCCAGTTGTGATCTGAATGTCAGTCGACTGGGAGCGGAGGGGGCTGTTTCCTCTTGAGTAATCTGAGTGGGGCCATCTAATATAATCTTAACCAACAACTCAAACTCACGAACAAAACTCTCTGCAGAGTCGACCAGGGGAATCTCAAGCTCACCCATCACACTGAAAACTGCATCAGGGTGTCCCAATATCATATAAGCACAGAGAACAGCTCTTACTGGATATCTTGACAGTTTAGTCATACTGTGATCTACTTCTCTTCTAGGCCCGACTTTCTTTGCCCCTATGCTTCTGGTAGGATTGCTGGCAGTGCCCCTTCGACTAGGGGGAGCAACCCGTTTAAGAAGATGATCAATCTTTTCTAAACTAGATAGATTACTTGTATGAATAGCTTCCCTTTTAAGAGTAATGCGGCTCTCAAACCGGTCAAGTAAAGCTTTCACAACTTTGATGGTCGTGGCTGACTCAATCTGAAGAGCAAGCTCTTCAAATGGCATCGACTTAAGAGATTTTTCATTGACTCCTAAAGCCACATATGCCTTTGCCAACGCAAAAGTTGTTCTTCTTAATCTTACAAATTGCCTCCAACACCTAGAAAACCAAAAATTTACGTTTGTTATGTCATACAATAAAAAGGAGAAGACACGCTGGGGAAAGAGAACGAATAACATTCATCTCTTTATAGTGCCAAATTCATATTGTTTGAGTCAGCAAACCAATTACTTCTGTAGAATGGAAAAGGCCATCTCTTCATTTAAAAGTATATGGCATCATGACAAGATGACATACCAAAACAGACCAGCAGCAAAAGCAATGACCAAATGAAAAATTACTCATCCAGTACAGAACAAAGACAAACCATCATTTAACATTCCTAGTATTTTCCGAAAAAATAACAAGGACAAGTTGCATGGAAGGCAAGGAGATAAGTCAATCACGCCGTTCCTCATTGTCCATCAAGTTAACTCTGTTTATGTGGGGAACAGCTACCCCACTTTGGTAGCCACCTCCTCTCCAGGTGAAGTACATATACATAATTACATACACGTACAAAAAAAAAATTTGTGTGTGTATATATATATATATATAAAACTGGACAACTAAGAAATATATATATATATAACTGATTAACAAGCAACAAGAAGAGAAAAACAAGTGCACAATAATTATGTGTGTCATTTGTTCCAGTAGTTTTCTGTGACTGAGTTGTTGAGACAAAGTTGGAAGTCCATAGTTAGGGAAGAAAATGCAAAGACATTATTTCTTCAAGACAATTTAATTCATCTGACTATGATTTTAAGGATCAATACAATAATTCAAGTTCTCTATGCTGCCTTACAAGTTACTTCTTTGAAGATAAAAGATCAGAACATTCAAGTTCATTGATACAAGGAGCATTTAGATCCAACTTATATTATAAGCCTCATCACATGATTCTGACAAATATAATATTGGCACAAGGCTGGACGAGCACCACATAGATTGTTGACTACCTCAAGCTTCAGCTCACGTTCAGGGTCAAACTTTGCCCAAGTATGCAGAAGTAACAAGAAGCTAAAACAAGTCTATAACAATTACATGCGTCAATAGTTCCTCGTACAGGGATATTTATGTAAATTTAGATATAGCGGTCAATTTATTGGGTCTTATTATTTCTTATTTATGGTCTGGATTAGTTTACTCATGGAGAACAGAAAGTCTTATTGTTTGATTTTTTATTTCCAAAGTTCTTGCAGTTTTTTATTTTGTTAAGTTCCTGTAACTTTTTATTTTGGTTAGAGTTTCAAACTTTTTAAAGTTCTATTCTGGCTTGTGCAAGTAGTCTTGGCTTGGGCTTTTGGTTCAGAAGTCAAGCGTCAGGCCAGTTAGACCAACCCATTAGCAACTAAGAGGTATAGTCATTTACAACGGAGACCCATGGAGGCACCAGTAAGAAAAGGTAGATCTATTTGCATAGAAGTTAAGAGACAGAGGCTGATCAAAACTCACATGAGAGAAAGTAATTAACAATGATAAAAAATAATAGAAAAGAATGAAAAAATATATTACATATCTGGCCACCCCCATTCATACGGGGTAAAGGCATGGATGATGATAGTGATTGATACAGTTAATTTACAGACTGACTGTGTGTGCATCTGTAAGGGATTAGGAACTGACAGCATTAATATATTGGCTCTTCATTGCAAAACAAGATTGTAGTTTAAACAGTGCTTTCCTTGGTTATGGAATATTTCATGAAACTCGTCTATTTATTTGAGTGTCTATAGCAATAATCCCCAATGCAGTCAGATACTATTCTATCACTTTCTTTGAGATTTCTTTCTGGATCACAAATTTTATTTTGCTACAGCCCTATTCACTCCCCAATTACCAAAATCTATACCCCAAGCATTGAAAATCATAGTTTTAGATTGAAATGCATAGTTATGAGCCCCTCCTCCAATAGCTTGAACTTTTACGGTAGTCAGTCGTTTACATGTTAACAGATCATATGGGTCTTTGTTTGAATCTCGTTACATACCAAGTAATATATATTAACTCGTGTCGGGCCCACTCATAAGAGACTAAAATGAGGGAGAGTAATATATATGCTACAACCCCTCTATTAAGCTTCCAGTAGTCAAATGTGAACATTTTAACGAACGCTAACTCCATTCCCGTTATTTTAATTGCTTCACCCACCACTTCTCCCTTGTACTTCAGTCGTAAAAAAATAAAAGAATCATAGGTTGTCCTGCATCAAGATATATCCTTCTTCTCCACTTAATAAGGACTAGATGGTGTTCTCTTTCACATTACTTTAGGTTCCATTTTCCGTATGTTTTATGGGGGTGGGAGGAGGTAGATTTAGTTGGACATGTATTGCCTTTCTGGAAACTCTATATAAATTCAGAAAAAATAAATATTTTCAAGTACAAGTAGTGACTGGTATTTACTTGGTTTCCTGGTTTCCAAACTCAGAAAGAAAGGTAAATGACAATCTTCAACATGTAAATACAATTTTTCTATTTTTTAATACAGAGGACAAATTATCTTGCTCCCAGACCCTTGTTCTTCATTTCTTTTTTAACTTGTTTATCCCATGCAGCACATGGAATGGATGGAAGACTGAAGTGGACAAAAGAACAAATTTTTCCATCTATCTTTGCCTTTCCCACTTCCCCACCCCACCCCCCAACACCATGAAAAGAAAAAAGGGATCTCTGTAACTCCTATATTTAAATGATGTTAAATTCGATTATGTCCCATAAAATTAGGTAAAAAAAGACCACGTTTATTGTCTTCAAACTACTTAAAGTTAAAAAAGAAGCCTAGCCCACCGACTGCTTCAAATAAATCCAACAATCATTTCATTTCTAGAATAAAAATGCCCAAAATAAAATCTTCATCCGTCCATCTGTTGTTGGTGAAAACTTCTAGTTAAATCCTCCTCTTTATCAAATTTTCTACTGTGGGATCTGATATTGGATCATACATGTTAATTAAAATGTCAGGGGAAACACTGCTTACTGAAAATTGGTTTCAATTGGACAAAGCTTAGCTTTCTTTTTCTTTCTTCTTTTCCTTTCCTGAATGACAAAATTTAGCTTTAGCACATAAAAGATAAAAATCTCATAGGATAGGGAATAAAGTTGAGATTAACTCATAGATCCATGAGGAAATCACAACTTTGTCAGAAATAGTTCAATTTACACAAAGTTTTGCATAACCAGGTTGTAAAACCTGATCAAGTCTAGAAGCAAATTTCGTGAGCAGCTGTAGTTTCAAGGAATGTTCAGCGGAAAGGAACCAAACCTTTAATGGCAGGGGACACTCTTAGGGAAACTTGGGCACCTTTTTTCAATTCACTTTGCAGCTTTTTGTATTTTTTAAAGGTATTAAAAATATATATAATTTTTCAGTTAAAGAAAAAGAAGTAAAAAAAATGGGGGAAAATTTCAAAAAGATGATTGATAAGTGTTACTCTTGAGCAGTCAAATGACTCAAATTAACTTGTTTACCTTGCTAGCTTTCTTGATGGAAACTCCCCCTGCTCAACCAACATTTTTGAATTGGCACAAACTGAACTCTGAGAACTTCCTCTCTGCCTCAAATACTCGTCCCTTAGCCTCTTGGCCTAGTCACATCAAATACATAAATAAAATAAAATTATAAACTATATTATCAAAAATAAGGGGAAAATAGCACAACCAAGAAAAAATGCATTTCATGAAAGATACATCATCACTGAAACACAAATATACCCTTTGGAGTCGATCATCTAACTGGTCCTTCAATCTCCTTTTCTCGATCTCCCGTTGACTGTAGACAGAATTAGCTACCCGCCGTACTTGCAATACCCTCGCACGTGCCCTTGACTTCTCTGCTTCTAGCAATCCCAACCGTTTCTTTTCAGCAGCAGCACGCTTTCGGTCAATCGCAGCCTGCACACACTCCTTATACTTGCTCTCCTGAATCAGCCTCTGCGTCAATGACTGAGCTGCCTGCTCTTTCTTTGCTGCCTTTCGTTGCCTACGAGCCCTTAAAAGAAGCATCCGGTTTGTCTCTGCTTGCTGAACCCGCGATTCCATTTTTAAGCCAAGCTCACCACGTTCCTTCTCAGAACGCATTTCCACACCAGTCTTAGCTGCCTGCCGTAGCTCGCCAGACCTGGCTAAGCGTTTTTGAACCTTTGCAAGTATGCTCATCCTTTTGGTACAATAAGAACAAGAAACCAATAAACAACAAAGAATACACAAAGTTTATAGTTCAAAACCAAAATGCATATCCACTTGGGCGGGTAATCTTTATTTTGCACAATTTTATATGTAAAAAATCAAGTACTCTTTCATCATAATTTGCGTCACTAAAAGGGTATAAAAAAGACAAGTAGACATGACAAGTCATACAGAAAAGTAAATTGAATCATCCACATTCTGTAGCATCAACAAAAGTATCTGACTACAAAGAATATTTAATAAAGACACTGAAGTAGCAAATTTATCAATCAGTCGAAATATTAACAATTACACGATTTAATTTATACGGAATCGTTGAATAATTCAAGAAACAAATATTCCAATTTGACAAAAGAAAATATTACCATGTATAAAAATAACCACCACACAGAAAACTCATGCATCATGGATTATTAAATCAATTTTAGGGTTTCCTTAAATTGGAATCCACAATGACAAGGAATTCTAGTTTATGCTCCCAAGTCAAATTGGTCACATATCAAATGTAGGAAAAAGAAGGAAAATTTTTAGTATTTAGCCCATTTGGCAACTTCATTTTTTTAGCTGAGAAATTGCTTTCTTTTTCTTGCATTTTATGGTTTCTTTGATCTCTTTTTGGTTTGATTTTGGCCCTTTCTCTCTCTTTCCCAAAATAAAGCATGCACCAAAAGCGATAGTCCCAGATCGCCTTAGTTTGTTATTGGCTTTCAATTGTTTGGTAGTCAATAACACACACAGAGACACAAAATTACAACTATTAGCCTATATTGATATGAGCTTTTACTCTAATCTTGGAAGTCAGAATACAACATAAGCATAAGACTAAAATTATTACTTCCTTTTCTCTCCTTCATTTTCCTCTGCAATCACTCTTTTTTTTTTCTTTTTTACTTGGCAAGAAACTCACACACCTATTTGCTTCTATGAGTACTTGAATCCTCACTTCTCACTTTGGGAGGTTGAGGAGATACCACTAGGCTAACCTATTTCCATGATTTTTTTTATCCCGTGTTGTGGTAGTGTAGCTACGAGCACAACTATTAATAAGAAAACCATTCTTCTATTAAAAAAAATATAACCTTTTCTGCTCAGCTGCATTTAGTTTTGCTTCAATACGTTGACCTGAGTCTTCCCCTTGCGAAGACAACCATGACGGGCTTCTCGTCTTCCGTGCTTTGCTTGACAACAATTCGTAGAAGTGCTACACCCAAACAAAACACAAATCTTTGGTCAAACCTAAATCAAGAACATCAATGCAGCAATAAAACCACCAGAAAAAATTAAGAAAATGTATAATAAATAACTTTATCTGTGTGAATCACTATTTCTATTACGTGTCACATGTTACACAAGAATGTAACAACAACTTGCCTCTTGACATGAACCTAATAAAACAAAAAATGATACTTTCATCTGTTTGCTTGCCGAGAAAATCTAAATCCTAACACACTCACTGTCTAGAACACAAGAAAACAAATTTTTCACCAGAACTTTAGCTCAGCGCTCACTAGTAGGCTTAATTGATGTCAATTTTACATTCTATCACTAAACCAACACAAAATGCTCAATATAATGTTCAAATTTTCCTTCCCTTCTCTGTTCTTCACAATCTATTGTTTTTCCAACTATAGCATTATAATTCACTTAACCAGGAATTAAAATTAATAACTGAGTTTAATTCCCAGAAAAAAAAAATTTAAAAAAAAAAGAAAAATAGACGATAGATTTATATATATATATATATATAGAGAGAGAGAGAGAGAGAGAGAGAGAGAGAGGAGTACCTGACGACGGAGATCGGCGTCTTTGAGCTTAGCTTCGATCTCCTCTGCGGTGGTTGAATGGCTTTTCGACTCGAGAAGACGCCGTCGAAGTTGCAGAGGAAGCTTAGGAGGCGTTGAGTACGACGTCGTGTTGGCGTCGGTAGCCGGAATGTTAAACGCAGTCCCGGCGACTCCCTCCGATTCCGTCATTTCTACTCCGGCGATCGTTGAATGATCGTTAAAATGTGGATTGATCGATGAATTGAGACCTGAGAGGGTGATTTGATTCGTACGATTGTCGAGCGAAGGTCGACGAACGTTAAAATGCTTTTTGTGTTTTTTTGTTTCTCTCTCTAAATTTTGTCGGTAATTCTTTCTTTCTTTTTCTAGAAGCCCGTCGGATGTGGTGAGGAGTGTCATTCAAATTATTTACAAATTTCCCCCGATTTAAATAAAATTCTAAATGTTTATTTCTCTTTTGCTAACTCAAATTCTGAACTGATTAGAGTGTTTATTCAATTAAAGGGTTTTTGACCAGGCATTTTAAAATTTTATCTTAAAAGGTACACATCACTTATTAATTTCACTGTTAAAAATTTTAAAAGAAATTGTAAAATATTTATTTTTTAATTATTATTTAAAATTAAATTATTAAAAATTTTAGAACTGTAATAAATATATGTGTATGTGTAAATATATAGCGAGAGAATAATGAACGGAGGGAGAGAGGACAAATAAAGAGACCCAGAGAGAAAGATAGAGAGGACGAACAGAGAGAAAGATAGAGAGGACGAACAGAGAGAGAGAGAGAATGCGACTTCAGATTTTTTTCATTTCAAAATTGTACATGCCCAATGCCTTTTATAGGCTTCAATAATGGCTTCTTCAGTACGCTTCCATAGCAATCTTTCTTTGTAAGCCATAAAGACTATGATTACATGTATGACTTAATAAATTTGTGGAGCCCACAACAAGTGTATATCTATATAACACTCCCCCTTGGAGTCCACAAAACTACACTAAGAATATGCCTCGTTAAAACCTTGCTAAGGAAAATCCAGTGGGACAAAACCCTAGCGAAGAAAAAAGAGTATAGAATTCTTATGTATCTTGAAAATGGTATTGCATAGATTAAAACTGCCTCATTAAAACCTTGCCAGGAAAACCCAGTGGGACAAAACCTGGACGAAGGAAAAAGAGTACAGCATGCCAATACCTCTTTGATGAATTGCTCCCCCTCATCAGATCAACCCTGAAGATCCTATAGTTGACGCATTCCAATGTTGTGCACCAGCTTCTTGAATGTTGTAGTTGGAAGCGTTTTAGTGAATAAATCTGCTAGATTTTCACATAAACGTATCTTCTGAATATCAATATCACCTTTTTTCTGCAGTTCATGTGCATAAAAGAATTTTGGTGAGATGTGCTTGGTCCTGTCACTTTTAATATACCCTTCTTTCATCTGTGTAATGCATGTCGCATTATCTTCATATAATATTGTTGGACTTTCTTTTATTGATGAGAGACCACATGTTGTTCGAATATGCTGGATCATTGATCTCAACCAAATGCATTCCCTGCTTACCTCATGAATTGCGACTATCTCAGAATGATTTGAAGAAGTGGCAATCATTGTCTGTTTCATCGATCGCCATGATATAGCTGTGCCGCCACAGGTAAACACATACCCTGTTTGTGAATAAGCTTTATGTGGGTCAGAAAGATAGCCGGCATCTGCATATCCAACTAATGGAGACTTTGGTGCCTTCGAATAAAACAAGCCTATATCAGTTGTGCCACGAAGATATCGCAATATGTGTTTGATTCCATTCCAGTGTCTGCGAGTTGGTGCAGAACTGTACCGTGCTAATAAATTGACTGGAAAAATTATATCAGGTCTTGTGCAATTTGCAAGATACAAAAGAGCACCAATCGCACTGAGATAGGGCACTTCAGGGCCAAGGAGTTCTTCATCATCTTCATGAGGACGAAAATGATCTTTCTTGATGTCCAGTGATCGGACAACCATTGGGGAGCTCAATGGATATGCTTTATCCATATGAAAACGTTTCAGAATATTTTCTGTATATGTTGATTGATGGATGAGAATACCGTTCGAAAGATGTTCAACCTGCAGCCCAAGGCAGAATTTTGTCTTTCCGAGATCTTTCATTTCAAATTCTTTCTTTAAATATGTGGCTGTCTTTTCGATCTCATCTAATGTTCCCACAAGGTTCAGATCATCAACATATATTGCAACAATAACAAAACCAGATTCTGATTTGTTAATAAATATGCATGGACAAATATGACCGTTCACATACCCTTCTTTGAGTAAGTAATCGCTAAGGCGATTATACCACATTCGTCCAGATTGCTTCATTCCATATAAGGATCGTTGTAATTTTATTGAGTGTATATTACGTGGTTTTGTTTCAGGCATTTTAAATCCTTCTGGGATTTTCATATAAATATCACTATCTAGTAATCCATATAAATATGCTGTAACCACGTCCATTAAATGCATATGCAATCTTTCTGTGACTGCTAAATGTATTATGAATTTAAAAGTAGTTGCATCAATCACAGGGGAATATGTTTCCTCATAATCAATACCAGGTCTTTGTGAGAAACCTTGAGCTACAAGTCGGGCTTTATATCTCACGATTTCATTTTTCTCATTACGTTTTCGTACAAACACCCATTTGTACCCAACAGGATTAACCCCCTCAGGTGTCTGGACTACTGGTCCAAATACTTTACGTTTAGCTAATGAATTTAGCTCTGCTTGTATCGCTTCTTTCCATTTTGGCCAATCATTTATTCGTCGACATTCTTCGACGTTTTGAGGTTCCGGATCCTCATTTTCAATATCAAGAGCAACAAGATATGAGAATATGTTGTTGACAACAATTTTATTTCTATTCCATCTCGTTTCATAATTTAATGAGATCTCATCATTTTTAGGTACCTATGCCTCATCATGAGCATGTGCCTCATCAAGGGTCACATCATCATCTGTTGCTTTTGCCTTATCAATATTTATTATTTCATCATTTTTAGGTACCTGAGACTCATCAAGAGCATCTGCCTTATCAAAGGCTATTATCTCAGATTGATCAATAAAATCTGTTGCTCTTTTGTGGCCTCTTCAGGAGTGCCAACTTTTCTTTGTGATTTCCTCTTATGAGAAACAATATCTTTTGCACCAACTGGTCTACCACGCTTCAGGCGTGTTTTAGATACATTTGCTGCATTACTGACAGAAGGTCTCTCAGGGACAACAATTCGTGCTGGTACATTTGCAGCTGGTATATGTGATTTTATCACTTTCTTTGTATCAGTAAATGCATCAGGTAATTGATTTGCAACATTTTGCAAGTGAATGATCCTCTGAACTTCTCGTTCACATTGGTTTGTACGATGATCAAAATGAGACAATTTCAGGGCATTCCAAGTAAGATCACGTTGCTGCTGTACCTTTTCTCCCCCTAATGGTGGGAAAACAGTCTCATCAAAATGACAGTCAGCAAATCGTGCTTTGAAGACATCACCTGTCAGGGGTTCAAGATATCTAATAATAGATGGAAAATCAAAACCAACATAAATTCCAAGTCTACGTTGAGGACCCATTTTAGTGCGTTGGGGTGGTGCAATTGGAACATATACAGCACAACCAAAAACTCGTATGTGGGAGATATTTGGTTGTTGTCCAAAAACAAGTTGTAATGGTGAGTACTTATGATAAGCAGTTGGTCGTATACGAACTAATGATGCAGCATGTAATATGGCATGACCCCAGGCAGAAACAGGTAAATTTGTTCGCATAAGCAAAGGACGACCAATTAGCTGAAGTCTTTTAATAAAAGATTCAGCCATACAATTTTGAGTATGAGTGTGTGCAACAGGATGTTCAACATAAATTCCAACTGACATGCAATAATCATCAAAAGCTTGAGAAGAAAATTCAGCGGCATTATCAAGACGGATTGTCTTAATTGGGTAATCAGGAAAGTGTGCCCGTAATTTGATGATTTGAGCAAGAAGTTTAGCAAATGCAATATTACGAGTAGAAAGTAGACAAACATGTGACCATCGTGTTGATGCATCAATTAAGACCATAAAATAACGAAATGGTCCAGATGGTGGATGGATTAGCCCACATATATCCCCATGAATTCGTTGTAAAAATGGAGGAGACTCAACAATGACTTTTGAAGGGGATGGTCTGATAATCAACTTACCTTGTGAGCAGGCGGTGCATAGATGATTATTTGGTAAGATGATTTTTTTATCCTTTAGTGGGTGACCATGTGAATTTTCAATAATTCGACGCATCATTGTACTCCCTGGGTGACCAAGTCGATCATGCCAAAGTATAAAAAGTTTTGGGTCACAAGATTTTTTATGGATCACAACATTTGACTCAATTGTTCTAATGGTTGTATAGTATAACCCAGAAGAGAATACAGGGAGTTTTTCTAATATCAGTTTCTTGCCTGAGGTAATGGAAGTAATGTAGAGATATTCGACATTTCTTTCATTTGCAGTCTCAATATGATACCCATTAGGACGCAAGTCTTTAAAACTCAGCAGATTTCTCCGAGATCTTGTAGAATATAAGGCATCATTGATTTGTAATCTAGTTCCATGTGGTAAAATGATGTTGGCTCGTCCGGAGCCTTCAATCAAGTCGGTGTACTGACACTAGCGTCTGTCAGAGTTAAGTGGGAAAAATATTTTTGATCTCGAAGGATTGTATGCGTTGTTCCGCTATCTGCAAGACATATGTCTTCACCATTTATTTTGGAACTAGTGAGATCCATTCCTATTCATGCAAATTTCTTTATCAGAAAAAAAACTTTTATAACAAAAACCTTTAATACAAACTAGAAAATAAAAACTTTAGTACAAGGACAATAAAAAGCATAGTAGACAGTACATAAAAGAAACATAAGATTAACTGGTGTGGACATTTCCATCACCAATCAGGAAGTCTATCCTTCCATCACGATCATCAAAAAAATCTGATACATCCAGATTGGTGATGTTAACTGGCTCATCATGATTAATGAAATTCATTTCCAGATTTGTGGTGTCAATTGGCTCATCATGATCAAGGAAATTCATTTTCTTTTGTTTTCCCTTTTCTTTTATTGAGGCTTGATACAGATCAGCCAGATGCTTCGGTGTACGACAAATACTTTGCCAATGCCCTATCATGCCACACCGATAGCAAGTATTATCATGAGCCTTGGAAGGTTGAGCCACATCCTTTCCTTTTACTTGTCTCGTTTCATTATGATCTTTCCTTTGAGGATATGGTGTGGATCTCTGATTGCGAAAATGTGAGGATTGATATCCTTCACGATAATAAGAATGATTTCTACCACGACCATATTCATTATTGTGGTAGTTATTTTT